CAATGGAGAAGCTGATCTTGGTTACAAGTCAACCTGACATTTTAATGACAAAAGAACCCCGAACAAATAAACCAGTGACACCAACCACATCCAGAGGGAATAAACATACTGCCATGCTGACAGAAAAAGAGACTGGAATGACAACAGAGCTTCCTGAAACAGAATGTACAACAGAAATTGAGTTACAAACACTTGAAGATAAAACACCTGTGGGGAGAACACACACCACATATGGAGAAAGACAGTCAAAATATGATGGTTTACGTTCAGAACATTTAAAAACAAAAAGTATAAATGAATTGGTTACATCAGATCCCTCTAGAGGACATGAAAATACTGCCATAGAGACTGAACATGAGGTGGAAACGACAACAGAGCTTCCTGAAACAGAATGTACAACAGCAATTGAGACACTAACATCAGAAGATTTAAAAAAAAACCTGTGGAGAGAACGGATACCACATACAAAGAAAGTCAGTCAGAGCCTGGTGATTTAAATACACAACATCTTGAAACAGCAATGACACCAAACACATTAAAAAAATATGCAGATTTACTGGAGACTGAACAAGACAGAAGAATGTCAACGAATCTTCCTGAAACAGAATGTACAGAAATCAACTTATCAACTGCAGAAAAAAAGAACATCATTGGAGAGAGCATCTGACAACTGAAGAAAGACAGTCAGAACCTGTTGAGTTCATTTCAAACTATATTGAAACAAAAGTCACAAATGAACCAGTGACACCAACCACATCCACAAAATCTGCAGAAGATTTTACAGCGACCAGACAAGAGACATTAATGACAACAGAGGCTCTTGAAACAGAATGCACACAGAAATTGAGCTACAAACACCAGAAGATAAAACACCTGTGATGTCAACAGCTACCACATATGAAGAAAGAGAGACAGATAATGAAGTTTTAAGATCAGAACATATTGCAACTAAAGGCACAAATGAACCATCATCCCCTTCCAGAGGACATGAACATACTGTCATAGTGACTGAACAAGAAGTTAAAATCACAACAGAGCTTCAAGAAACAGAATGTGCAACAGAAATCAAATTATCAACACCAGGAGACAAAACACACGTGGAGAGAACAGATACCACACATGAAGAAAGACAGTCAGAACATAATGGTTTACTTTCAGAACATCTAACAAAAAGTACAAATGAACCAGCAAAACCAACCATGTCCACAAAATATGCAGAAGATTTCACAATGAACAGAGAAGAGACATTAATGACAACAGAGACTCTTGAAACTGAATGTACAACAGAAATTGAGTTACAAACACCAGAAGATAAAACACCTGTGATGACAACAGCTACCACACATGAAGAAAGACAGTCAGAACCTGTTGATTTCATTTCAGAAAATATTGAGTCAAAAGGTACAATTGAACCAGCAACACCAACCATGTCCACAAAATATGCAAAAGATTTCACAGTGAACAGAGAAGAGACATTAATGACAACAGAGGCTCTTGAAACTGAATGTACAACAAAAATCGAGTTGCAAACACCAGAAGATAAAACACCTGTGATGTCAACAGATACCATATGAAGAAAGACACTCTGAACCTGTTGATTTCATTTCAGAAAATTTTCAGTCAAAAGGTATAAATGAACCAGTGACACTAACCACTTCCAGAGAACATGAACATATGGATACTTTGAAAGAACAAGAGATGAAAATGACAACAGGGCTTCCTGAAACGGAATGTACAACAGAAAGCAAATTACAAACACCAGAAAATAAAACATCTGTGGAGAGAACAGATACCACAGAAAGACACTCAGAACTTGATGACTTAAGGTCAGAAGGTTGAGCAACAAAAAGTACAAATGAGCCAGTGACACCACCCATTTCCAGAGAACATAATGTCACACTGACAGAACATGAAATGACATTAGTGCTTCCTGATACAGGATGTGCAACAGACTCAAAGAGCTCAACAGAAAAACCTGAAGATGTTCTGGAGAAACAATCAATGGAAAGGAAAGAAACGATGCCAACAATAACAGTGCCAGGGGTGGAAACTCAATCACCACCAAGCATAGAAACAGAAGCGTCATGGCATACAGATGAAGATGGCTGCTTTGGACTAATTCATCGCACCAGCTCTGGGTAGAAAAGATGATGAAAATTAGTGATTTAAAGCCAGAACACCTTGCAACTGAAGGCATAAATGAATTGGTTACAGCAAGAAAATATGCAGATTTAATTAGGACTGAACATGAGAAAAGAATGACAACACAGAGTCTTGAAACAGAACGTACAACGGAAACACCAGAACACCTGAAAACACCTGTGAAGAGAACAGATACCACACACGAAGAAAGGCAGTCGAAATATGATGGTTTAAGTTCAGAACATCTTGCAACAAAAGGTACTAATGAATTAGTTACATCCACCCCTTTAAGAAGACATGAACACACTGTCATAGTGACTAAACATCAGATAGAAATGACAACAGAACTTCCTGAAAGAGAATGCACAAAAGAAATTGAGAAACCGACACCAGAAGATAAAACACCACCAAGCAAAGAAGCAGAAGGATCACTGCCTACAGATGAAGATGGTTGCTTTGGACTAATTCATCGCACCACCTGTGGGATGAAAAGATGCCAGGAGAAGATGATTAAAATTATGTTATACAATACCACACCAAAGCCACAAGAGCCTTCAACTGTGAAACATAAGCAAGAGACAACAGAGCTATCTTTCATATTGCAGAATACACTGCAATCATCACCTCTGAGTAAATATCAGAGTTCTAAAAAAAATTACCCAACATAATATCAATAAAGTTAATGCTGAAGATGAAAATAATCACTTCTACTATTTCAATGGCAAGTTAAAAAGAGTTGAAAATCATGCACTGGGGCTTGAGAATGATAGCAACACACTAACCAGACCATAGTATTCTTGCAGTAAAATTGTAATTACATAAATGATGTAATTGTAGTTATGTAATGTGGAATTAATGATGAAAGGCCCACAGCTGGTCGCATTTTTTATTTTTTTTACATTACATTTACATAGAGATCAAATGAAAGTAACTCTTCAAACAATTAGCTTATTTGTTCGGGGTTCTTTTGTCATTAAAATGTCAGGTTGACTTGTAACCAAGATCAGCTTCTCCATTGCTGTCCAAACTATTTCCTATCATGGGTGTCACTTTATATTAAACATATAATGTTACAATTGTAAATATAATTCTAAAGTAAGTAAGTTTATGGCAGCTTTTTTTCCTGTATATTTCCTGTAACTGAAGTCAAGCTAATTGTAATAATTACAGTATTATTACAGTACAGTAATAATTGTAAATGACCATACAAACTGCATTGTTCCTTTTTTTGTCGTTGATCTAAGATAGACAACGTTAGAAAGAAAGAAAGAAAGAAAGAAAGAAAGAAAGAAAGAAAGATGAAGGGGAAAAGTATACAGATAAGCGTCACAGCCCAGGCTAGTGTTTCTGCTGTAGCTCTGTCAACTGATTATACCTACAGTAGTTCAGTGTTGGACTGTCATTGTTTGACTGTTGTTGTCTTGCAAGAGGAAAGCATGACCGACTAATTCCAGGTAAGAAAATAAATATATAGATAAAACGCGCTAGATGTGCTGAGGAGCAGAATATGGTTTAGAGAGCCGTTCAATAGGATGATGAAGGGAGAAGTTCAAACGAGCGTCGGAGAAACTTTGAAGGAATAACGAGACACCGAATCAGATCACAGCACGGTGTTTTTGCAATTTGTGTGAAACATCTCTCTTTAAACAGAGAATGGAAACGTTTGCCATTATTTGTATGATCTGTTGAAAGAAAATGTGTGGACTATTTATTAGTTTACTTCATAATATCATCTCGAGTCGCCTGTCTAGATGTGAGGATGATTCGATTTCGCGTGTTTTTTAACATGATGGTTTCGGTCGAATCTGTTTACTGTTTGTTTAGTGTTTTACCTGCAGTCGTAACCTTTGACAATATCACTTTTAAGTTCATGCAACATTAGATTAACATTTTATTAACTTTGTTTTCAATTAACGATTATATGGCAGTAAATATCTTAAAAAATATCGTCCCGTATTTGATTATGTTATTATAGAACATTATTATAGGCTGCTTGATATTTACAACATAGATGCATTCATCATAATCACAATGCTTGTTCAAATCCAAAAATATGCAAACAATAATTTTCTCTAATGTAAATCCAATTTACTGTTATATAATTACAACATTATAATTTTAAGAGAATATTATATTAATATGGGGGAACGGTGCAAGAAAAGGTGACGTCTCAAGAACTGTAGCTCAGTAAACAAAGATTTCAAGTCAATAAGTTACACAAATATGCGTTTTTCTCATATTTTTCGTTTAAATAAAAAAGGGTGAAAATACTGAGTAAAAGGAGTGCTGTCCTCTAAACTATGATAATATTTTATGATGCTTATTTTGAGTAAACTATATATTGACAGGTTTTACCCAAAAGTTTGGACCTTGTCATGTCTCATGTCTCATGTCATGACGATGTGATATCAAGCATTAGCAAGAAGGAGCTAGAACAGCTAAAGGACATTCTACTGACATACTGAGAGTAATTATAATGCTGGTATCACACAATTTTTGACTAAAAAGGTTTTTGTCAAGCTGAGTAGCAGCCTTTCAATAAACACTACAGACTGTCCCAAGTGGCTTAAAATCAATGCTTACAAAGCATGTTCTTAATAGGAAGGAGATAAAGGCATGAATGTTTTCATCAACAACAAGGAACAACCATGAAAAATGCCTGTAAGCCATCATTTACAAAGAGAGACAGATCAATACAGCACACATAACCATTCATTAATGTAAAATCAAAGAAATCGTGAAGATCAGACTCCACAGATTGTTAAAACAAGTTGCTAGACCACAATCGCTGCTAAAACCAAATCATCACGTATATACTGGTGTTTTTCAAACAGATAAAACCCTAGAAGACGATCAGTATGAACCTGACCGCCCATCTTCTGGACCACATGCTGAAGGCTTCCAACCTCTCTCGCTGGCAGTTCATCCAGGAATTCTCCATTCCTCCTCTGGTGGCCGTGCCCAGACTCCCTAGCACCCTGCTTCCAGTTTTTGGTCTGCTCTACGTGCTCATCTTTGGGCTTGCGGTGGTGGGAAACGGAGCGGTGCTGGTTCTCTTATGTCGCAGGAAGGCTCTGCAGTCTCCCAGCACCTTCTTCATTTGTTCTCTGGCACTCAGTGACCTCCTGATATCCATAGTGTGTGTTCCTGCCACACCGCTGCAGCACTTCTTCACCAACTGGTTGGCAGGTAGGCTTAATTATGTTCACGCTTGACAGAAATGTTAGTTTCTGTTATTTTTATGTGTCATAAGAGTCTATATCCATTTGGACACCCAATTCTTCCCAAGGTTCCTGTTGCATCAACTTCAACTCTATTACGTGACAGTAAAGTAAAGCTTTAAGGATATATAATTCATGCATGATCAAAGACACTGACGAATTAAACAGTTGAAGCATTTGACCTCCAGTCCATTCATCTCACAATTCAGTGCTCATAGATGGTAGCCTGTAGTATTGTTCAAAAGGTAAAGGTTTTCTGTGCTTTCTGCATGTTTTTTCCATCTTTCACAAAACTACAATTCAACAACAGTTGAATTAAGCCCACCCAAATGACAGTCTTGCCCACCCAATCAGAATTAGATAAGCAGTGATTAAAACCAATCTGAAGTGGACTGTATTTTAAGAAGTTTAAGATATAGCTGGAGACTGCCCCAACAATAATAAAATAACACCAGAAAATTGCAGCATTTTTCTTGTATTTCCTGAATGCAAGTCGCGCTGAATTCACCCGGAGCTTCAGTCTGTTGCAGAAAAGCAGAGGCTGACAACGATCCATTTAATAATTTAAATTAAAATTATAATTTACGTTTGTAATTTGTTATTTTGTTTTCAGAATTGTGATTTGTTTTGCACTTCTTGGCTACCGTAAGTTTGTGAGTTATGGGGAGTTTAATAGGCTACATGAATATGTATCATAGCCTACCACTGAAATGACTTGAGCAGTTTTAATGTTTAAAAAACCCGCTCATATAATAATGTGCATGGATGGGGCAAGAGCATAATATAAGCATCTAAAATGCATGTAGGCTATACAGTTCAGTTGAAAGCTTACCCATTTTGGATTACTGTTAATGCTGAATGTAAGAATGAAAACTGAAAGTAAAGAGCTCGTGCGGTGAAAGTTGCGTTCGTTGTAACAGTCGGCTCGACTGTATAAGAAACCATTTTTGGTTCCACAAAGAACCATTCAGTCAAAGGTTCTTTAAAGAACCATCTCTTGCTTACCTTTTTATAATCTGAAGAACCTTCTTTCGCCACAAAGTACCTTTTGTGAAACAAAAAGATTCTTCAGATGTTAAAGGTTCTTTATAGAACCATTTACACAAAAAAGGTTTTTCTATGGCATCGTGAAGCACCTTTGTTTTTAAGAGTGTACATGACTACTGTTGAATGGCCGTCAATGAAAAAAGATGCATTTGCAGCCAGATGGTATAGTTATGACATAAACCAGCAGGATCCAACTGGACCATGTTAACCAGCCAAAATTGAATGCTTGACATAGACCAGAACAAAAAATAATTCAAATATAACTTCAATTATCAGTAATACTCTACAAATCAGGCATAGTTTGCATTGCTTATGTTATTAGTATGCATCAAGTTGTGTTTTAGATTCCATCAATTGCAAGAGTCAATGACCTTTCATCTAATGACATCACATAATGAAGGACAGTCATGTCCAGCATGCAACAGGTGAACTATGCCAGTGTGCTTTTGGAATTATGTAGGATCAGTGAGCTGGAAAATAAAAATTAGTGGCTTACAGAAGACTCCTCAGAACTGCTGGGAGAAGACTGCTCCTTAAATCCATGGCAACACAAACCCAATCTGATCTCCTGTATTGTAATTATGAGGAACATTGTGTCAGAAAATGAAGCCTGTTGTCCCACTCCACCCCGCTGTCCTCATCATTGTCCATAAAGACCATACATTTACTGCCCACACATTTCCTTCTATTATTTTAAAATTGCTCTGCAAGTCTCGTTAGTATATTTTTTCTTGTATTGTTACGTGTCAACCTATCTACACTCTTAAGAAAAATGGTTCTAAACAGTACCAGAAAAGGGTTCTTCAGTTTGTAACAATAGCAGAACCCTTTTTGGTGCTAAATAGAACACTTTTTAAAGGGTTCCATAAAGAACAATGCTTTGAAAGTGCTATATAACCTTAATGGTGCTATAAATAACCTTTTTAATGATAGTTTATTTTCATTAATATTAGTATATTAGTATATTTATATAATTAATATTAGTTTTATTAATATTATTTGAATAACTCATTTATTACTATTGTTTTTTTTAGCCCTCTATCTGCCTGGTCTTATAATATCTCATAGCTTCTATTAAGGTTTTCATAAAAACAACAACAACAGCATGTGTCAATTAGGTATTTTTATTTTATTTAATGACGTGAAATTGTAGCAAAAATGACAGTGATTTTAACAACCGTTATTAGCAGAATACATTAATAAATGACAATTGACATTGAACATAAATAAATACAGAGGTAAAACAAAAATAGCAACAGAAAATAGTGTAATGAAGACCAAGTCCTAGTGAAATTAGTGTTGTCAAAAGACCCGGCATTTCGGTACCAAGTCGGTACTAAAAAAATGAAAACGTTACGGTACCAGGTTTTCTTAAGTACCGGTTCTTGATGGCTATCAGAAAGCTATCCTCTTCCAGTGTTGCCAAGTCCGCGGTTTTCCCGCAGAATTGGGCTGCTTTAACACTGTTGCTGCGGGTTGTTTTTCATGTCCTTGTGTTGAAAAACGACCCCATTAACGTGATATTTAGCCCCTGGAATGCAAATTTTACCAGGGGAACACCGCCAAAACACGCGTATTTTATCCCCGGAACGCGATTTTTAACGGGGACCCCCTCGAAACGCGATTGGGCGGCCCGGGTTTTTTGGGACTCGAGGGGCGGGCTTGGGGCGGATTGGCAACAGCTGGTCTGTGACTGGAGCGTGCATGGTAGGAAGTGGCGTTGATTCCGGAAGTGATCCGGAAATGGAGGATGAATTGTGTGGCGCGGAAAGTGGAGGTAATGGAGATGAATGGAATGTAGTGGTAAATAGGAAAAGAAAGAAAATTAGTGGAAATATATCTGAAACAGACAGTGAGAATGGAAGTCATATGTCAAGGAAAAGAAAAGAAGAGTGTAAGGTATTGATGAAGTTTGCTGCTGGATCTTTGAATGCAATTAACCCGTTGAAACTGTCTAAAGCACTGAAGGAAAAGATCGGAATGATGGAAAGTGTTAAGACTTTAAGAGAAGGTAGACTTTTGTTGTTTTGTAATGATAACAGACAACAAAAAGTGGCTTTAGGAATAAAATCGGTTCTAGGACAAAAAGTTATTTGTTCAATTCCAGAAGACAAAAGACGGGTTAAAGGAGTAATATCAGGAGTATCTCCTGATGTTCAAGTTGAGACGATTAAGAAAAATTTAACTGGAGTAATGTTCTTTACATTATAAAGGACGATTTTATGTAAAACAGTACACACACACACACACACACACAAAGACTTTAGCTGGGTTTTCACAGGTAGAGTCACATTTTTGTGTGATTGAGTGGCAGTTTTTCTCTGCAGATGACGAGGTTGTAGGATGTGACAGCATCTGAAATGCACAATTGAGTTTAGAGTTACAATGTGCCTCCTTCCATTTGTTTATGTAAAAACAATTGTTTATGAAGGCCAAAAGTAGTATGTGAGCACTTCACAATGTTATGTTTATGCATAAACCCAAGTAATAAATAAAAAAACAATATGGACCATAAATTCAATATCTTTGTTACTTAGTGGAGATGGAGAAAGAAATATCCTTAACTGAACAGAGCTGGTCGCACTTACATGTTCTCTTAAACTAAAAAGAGAAAAAGACATGACTGGTAGGAAACCAGTTACAGTTTAAAAGTTGAAAATAATAAGACATTTTAAGAAAGAAATCATTTACCTGTTGAGAGTGTGTTGACAGCCTGTGTAGTTGGATGGCTGAAGTCCAAAAAATCAGTAATTCAGGGGGGAAATCAGGGGGAGGGGGGATTTACATTAAAATAACAACAATAACAGCAGCAACAACATATTGTGTGAATCACAATTTAAAGAACCATCTTTTTTTTAGAGTGTACTGTGTATATATGAAAACAGGTCAGCCGGTTTGTTATTCAATATTTTACACAGTCTTTCATAAGTTCATTTGCCTGCTCTCTAATTCACTAATTGTCTGACTCACCGATTCACTCACTGTGCCTCATTTATTTTTTTGACCCACAGGTGATTTCCTGTGCAAGTTAATACCATTCCTACAAGTGACAGCCATTGCGACCAGCATGCTCACCATGACTTGTATTGCAGTAGAGCGTTTCCAGGGAATCCTTTATCCTCTGCATGTCCACAACAGCTACTTTCTTTGTCATGCCTTCAAGATGCTGGGTGAGTTGTGGAAAGAGAGATTAAAGAAGTTATTGCGAACAAAATGTTGTTGTTTTAATATAATTAATTATGTCCCTCATTTTACAGTGGTCGTGTGGTTGGTTGCCCTGGCAATCGCGGCTCCTATGTGGTTTGTTCAGAAAGTGGAGGTAAACATGCAACCTTTCTGACATTTCCAGAACAATCCCTATCCATTATACAGACCACTATTTTTAGATTAAACAAGCAATTTAGAGATTGCTCACACTCAGGTGCAGAGACATATAATCTAACAGACAAAACTCAAGTCATTAACAGTCAAAGATAAGGAACACAATGAAATAGGGCATAAAAATCAGTATTTAGCTCAGATACTAATATCAGCTAAATCTGAGGAAAGAAAGAAATTTCCTAGTTTTCATTAAGATTATGAAATGCTTTGCAATTATTAAACCAAAAGATTACATGAAAGAAATAGAAAAAAGTGGCTGATGGTTTAAATATAAGCAGAATGTGTCTTGACTCTTTGACGTGATTTTTTATTCACTGCAGCTACCACCAGAGATAACAGACACATCAACACTATTAGAATCAAATTAGATGTTGCTATGCTAGAGGAGACCATTGAGGGCTTCAAATGCAATGTCCATTATATATTCATTTATATAATAATGCCTTCCACTTATCATGTTTGTGTTTTTGCTTTATGTTGTCCTTGCATGTGCAGCTTTCACACATTTTTTCCCTCAAAGACATTTTGTATGCATCACTCCAATCAAATGATGATTGATGTCATGCTGTTTTAGGCATTCAGCAGATAAGCTTCATAAGTCTTTAACCATTAGCAATGCCTGTCAGTCAGTAAATCAGACCGTTGTAATTCATTTGTGAATTAAAAAGCAGCATTATACAATATTATTTGCTAAACAAATTCATTAGATTGAATATTTGAATATTTAGCTGCCTCTAGCATTCCCTCCATCTGTCTTTTTTTTTCAAATAGAAAAGAATGAAGGATTCATATAATAAGTTTCCTCATATTTAACTACCCAGGTGAAATATGACTTTCTGTTTGATGTCCACCACACCTGTTGTTTGGAAGTATGGCCAAGCCAGCACCAGAGGAGAGCCTACACTACCTGTTTGTCCGTCCTGGTGTTTCTGGCCCCCTTGACGACCATGGCCATCCTCTACTGGAAGATCATGCGGGAGCTCTGGGGCAAGCACAAAGTACACGACGCCATGTTTCAAACGCTCCCAGGATCTGAAATTAACAAGATTACCAGGTTAGTCTACAACAGGGGGTTCGCTTACCATTTAATTGTTTAGATCATTATTGTCTCAAAAATGAAATTATGCATTAAACAAAACATTAATATTAACTTAACGTCAACCAAAGTTACAATTACAGTAAGAGGCAAAATATACTAAAGGGATACTTCACCCAAAAATCCACCTGATTTTAAGGAGCTTGAGCATTTAAAGGGGTCATGAACATGTATCATGAATCATGAAAAAACATCATAATTTAGAAGTATTAAGCTATTTTCTGTCCTATTTTTAACCCCCCTCATCAGAACGCTCTGTTTGAATAGGTGTGGAAGATTGTAGACTCGGAAGTAAACGCCCACTGCAATGATTGGCTCACATCCTCATAGATGGATGCTGCTGTGATTTAGGTTTAAAATGCATAAATAACTAAATACACATCAAACGATCTGTAAGAAGTTACAAAGCAATAGTGACCACGTAATGAAAACAGTTATTCGCACTTGCGTGTTGCGACATTACTGTTGGATCCAATAGTCGGCACAGCATCGTGTTTTAGTTTCAATCTTTTTAAAAATCCTGCGTCGAATTGTGCCTCATTTGTAAACACAAGCAGTAATGTTGATCTGCTTCTGCGGAGGCAGTGCTTATCCATACTATTACTTCATAGAGTAGAACATGCCAAAAGCTGTCGTTTTGGCAGACTGCCTTCAATATAAGCTGTTTTTAGACTAACGACAAAGTTTTGAGTTCTGAAACCTACAAGATGTTTTTATAGTACAATGACAAGACCAAGTGAATTTTGGTTTCTCAGTTCATTACCCCTTTAAAGCAGCAGACAGCAAAACTGCGGCACACACTTATAATGAACAGAATGTTATCGTGCACTGGTGCATTAATATAGTTATCAGTTTTGGTGTTAAACGATAAAATTGTGTCAAAAATAAGTTCTCAATACTAACCTCTTATTTATTGGACTGTAGTATAAAAGCAATTACTTTTTTACATTTTCTTTTGAATATATTAAAGAATGTTTCATCCTTTTTGTCTACATAATGCACAAAACAACATTGGACCCCACTGACTTTCATTGTGTGGACAAAATACATGTAATATAACATTTTTTTATTATGAAATGTTTATAATATTTTATTAAAATGTTTTTATGTCTAAATCCAAATAATTGTTTTTGAAATTATATATTAAATAACTGAATTTCTTAATTCACTTCTATGATGTCACTGTACTGTAAGGAAATTTAAATATTATAAAAAATATAATTTAAATATCATCTCAACTCTACTATAATAAACAAAAAATATTTATTATATTTTGTCCTCATAAATATATATGGAGGTTCCCCCCCCAGATTTTTCTTACTGTTAAAAATTAGTGTCATAGAACATGCCAAAAGCTGTCGTTTTGGCAGACTGCCTTCAATATAAGCTGTTTTTAGACTAACGACAAAGTTTTGAGTTCTGAAACCTACAAGATGTTTTTATAGTACAATGACAAGACCAAGTGAATTTTGGTTTCTCAGTTCATTACCCCTTTAAAGCAGCAGACAGCAAAACTGCGGCACACACTTATAATGAACAGAATGTTATCGTGCACTGGTGCATTAATATAGTTATCAGTTTTGGTGTTAAACGATAAAATTGTGTCAAAAATAAGTTCTCAATACTAACCTCTTATTTATTGGACTGTAGTATAAAAGCAATTACTTTTTTACATTTTCTTTTGAATATATTAAAGAATGTTTCATCCTTTTTGTCTACATAATGCACAAAACAACATTGGACCCCACTGACTTTCATTGTGTGGACAAAATACACTGTAGTGTTTTTTTTTTTAAATATTGTCTTTTGTGTTCCACAGAAGAAAACATAAGGGTGAGAAACTAATGAAGAATTTAAATTTTTAGGTGAACTATCCTATTAAGTAAAATGATGTAGTATACAAATAATGTAGTATACAAGTAGGCTATATGACTCAACACAATGCATGAGTAATTTTGCTGTGTTGTGCTAATTTCGCTGTGCTGTGCTAATTTCATTGTGCTTGTTTCCATTTTGTTGCGGCTTGTTTCCGTTGTGTTGTGCTAATTTCATTCTGTTGCGGCTTGTTTACGTTGTGATGTGCTAATTTCAGTGTGTTGCGGCTTGTTTCCGTTGTGTTATGCTAATTTTGTTTTGCCGCGACTTGTTTCCGTTGTGTTGCGACTTGTTTCTGTTGTCGCAGCTTGTTTCCATCATGCTGTGCTAATTTCGTTGTGTTGCGGCTTGTTTCCATTGTGTTGTGCACTACTGGGCCACTGTACTCTGTACATCATTAAAGGGTTAGTTCACCCAAAAATGAAAATTTGATGTTTATCTGCTTACCCCCAGGGCATCCAAGATGTAGGTGATTTTGTTTCTTCAGGAGAGTACAAACGAAGATTTTTAACTCAAACCGTTGCAGTCTGTCAGTCACATAATGGAAGTGAATAGGAATCACGGCTTTGAGAGTCAAAAAAACATACACAAACAAAACCAAATTATCTAAAGACACGAAACGATCGGTCTGTACAAGAAACTGAACAGTATTTATATAGTTTTTTTACCTCTGATTCACCGCAATGTCTGAACTGTCTTGAGCGCGTAACAGCCGGCGTGTGACGCGTCTTCTTCTTCTTCTTGCTTTACGGCGGATCGCAGACTTCGCAGATCATGCTCAGGACAGTTCGGACATTGCGGTGAATCAGAGGTAAAAAAACGATATAAATACTGTTCAGTTCCTTGCACAGACCGACCGTTTTGTGTCTTTACACATCAATGTATCGTCACGAGCTGCAGGGTTTAATTTGGTTTTGTTTGTGATTCCTATCCACTTGCATTATATGACTGACAGACTGCAACGGTTTGACTTAAAAATCTTCATTTGTGTTCTACTGAAGAAACAAAGTCACCTACATCTTGGATGCCCTGGGGGTAAGCAGATAAACATCAAATTTTAATTTTTGGGTGAACTATCCCGTTAAACAGATACCTGTAGTTCACACAAAAATACAAATTCTGTCATCATTTACTCACCCTCATGACATTCCAAATCTGGATGACTTCTGTGCAACACCAAAGACAAAATTTTGGTGACCATTGGCTTCCATTTTGTAAAGAGAGACATTTCTCAAAATATTTTAATTTATGTTCCACAGAATAAAGCAATAAACATTTTTTATGATATGAGGGTGAATTAATGATTACAGAAAATGCATTTTTGGGCAAATTACCCTTTAATGATTATTTTAAAGGTTTTGCAATGTTGCATCATTGCAAACCCTTACTAAAGTTAACCATGGTTTTACTACAAATAAAACCAAAAAAAACCATGGTTACTATAGTTCAATCATGGTAACCACAAAATAACCATGGTTTTGCTACACTAACCATAGTTTAACCATGGTATTTGTAGCAAAATATTGGTTTATTATACAAATATTGGTATATTATACAAATGGTAATCAATACACCAAAAAAAAAAAAAAACATGGTTACTACACTTTTCCTAAAACCATGGTTAATATCCATAAGAGATACTTTAGTAAATACATTAATATGGTACAAAATTATAGGCCGAGCTTAAAATGCAACATTCAGTTTTATAACATTTATAACAGGGTGTCATTGCTCCATCTCTATTCACCAAAGAGCCAGAAAAAGCATGCACAGCATGGATAGCCATGTGATGAGAATCCTTATGATTTTGACAATAAACAACAACAACAAAAAAAAGTATTTGTCCATATAATTCTGCGAATTACACTCTGCTTTTGAAAGGCCTATTTAGCAGATGCTTTGATTGCCGGTATTGCATAACGTCTGCATTGTTGCTCTCGATTCACATGGTCTTGGTAGACTGGTACAAATGAAATGGTGTTTGATTGACACCCCTGTATTGTACTGTTATTGACATGCCTGTAACAATACACATGTCACATGCCTTCCATTCTCAGGAGGAAGAAGCGTGCAGTAAGAATGATGGCCACCGTGGTGCTGCTCTTTGTCGCATGCTGGGCACCTTTCCATCTGGTCTCCCTCCTGCTTGACTACGGTACCACAACACTCCTTGTGCTCTTCCCTCTTGCTTACTGTTGTCAATCTCCCTGTTTTTCTTCTTCCCCTCACAAGAAATGAACCCCCCCCCAACCTTTTCACGTGTCTGTCAGTCAACTGCTGGCCTTCCTGTGAGAGTATAGTAAACACATTCTCACTTCAGATTCTCTCCGTCTTTTCCACTTTCCTCTTCCTCAACCTTTCGTAGAAGTCAACACCTCGTTCCTGTGAACCTTCGACATGCAATCGTTTGTTCTATTATTCCTCTCACAGTTATCACAATGGCAACTATTGTGAGTTTGGTGTAGTGCTATTGTCTCCATACACAGATTGTTTGATATCACATAAAAATGCATTAATACAGGTGGAGCATTTTATGTACGTATTTTATTCCTTAATTAATATATATAATTAATATAATAATATAATTAATATAATTTGTGCAAAAAATCAAAATAACACCAAATATACTTCATAAGCAAGTGCAGAATATCAAGCAAGACTGTTTCCCTTCCTATTTTTCAGTGCAATTTTCCATCTACATGTACTCCTCAAGGTTTCAGTCTTTTTATAAACATTTTAATACACTGATTTATAAGAAGTATTTATTTTCCATGCCCAGTATTCTGTCCACTCCAATGTCATGTGCACAACATGCAGTTAGTTTCTTCTGTTTTTTTCTGCGGTTCATGTGTAAAGAAAGAAGGCGTAACTTTTATTCTCGCTGTAGTATTGTCGCTGTCGCCGCCATGTCGTGGAGACGCTGTGTGTTTCCAAATATGGCAAGGGGCGTAACATTACCGTCACATGTTTGAGGTATTCGGCCAATCACAATGCACTGGATGGCTGGCCAATCGGAGCACACCTCGCTTTTCAGAGCTTTGTAAAAATCGACGTGTTTCATAAAGGCGGGGCAGAGAGGAGCAACAATAATGTACAGTATGTGGAAAATAATGTGTTTTTTATACCTTAAACCGTGTAAAAACATTGCATTACACCAAATATAAAATAACATTATTTTTAGCATCGTCATATGACCCCTTTAACACAAAAACCTTAAAAGTCAATCCTGAAGCATTTTATGAAAGTTTTTTCTTGATTTGTAGAGAAATTTCCATTTTATAACACCAAATATACTTCATAAGCAAGTGCAGAATATCAAGCAAGACTGTTTGCCTTCCTATTTTTCAGTGCAATTTTCCATCTACACGTACTCCTCAAGGTTTCAGTCTTTTTATAAACATTTTAATACACTGATTTATAAGAAGTATTTATTTTTCCATGCCCAGTATTCTGTCCACTCCAATGTCATGTGCACAACATGCAGTTAGTTTTTTCTGTTTTTTTCTGCGGTTCATGTGCTTCTCAGCTGCAACAAAAGCCTTTCGGAAGACAGCATAACCAACTTGCCTACCCCTGCCCTACATCTTGTGTTTTTAAAGGGGTCATATGACGCGATTTCAAGTTTTCTTTGGAGTGTTACAAGCTGTTCATGCATATATAAGATCCGTAAAGCTGCAAAGACTAAAGTCTCAAACCCAAAGAGATATTCTTTATAAAAGTTAAGACTCTTATATAGAGTCTCTTAAGACGCTGTGTGTTTCCAAATATGGCAAGGGGCGTAACATTACCGTCACATGTTTGAGGTATTCGGCCAATCACAATGCACTGGATGGCTGGCCAATCGAAGCACACCTCGCTTTTCAGAGCTTTGTAAAAATCAACGTGTTTCATAGAGGCGGGGCAGAGAGGAGCAACAATAATATACAGTATGTGGAAAATAATGTGTTTTTTATACCTTAAACCGTGTAAAAACGTTGCATTACACCAAATATAAAATAACATTATTTTTAGCATCGTCATATGACCCCTTTAACACAAAAACCTTAAAAGTCAATCCTGAAGCATTTTATGAAAGTTTTTTCTTGATTTGTAGAGAAATTTCCATTTTATAACTGTACCTTGCATGTCTGTTCTCTGAACCCAGGTAAACTGGACCTGGATCTTGACTCCGAGTTTCTCCTAGTCAGCGTGGTTCAGATCCTGGGATTCAGCAACTCTGTGTGTAACCCGCTGGTTTATGCTGCCCTCAACACCACCTTCAAAAGGGACCTGCTGGCTCTGCTCACTCGAGGATGCTCTGGTGCAAGAGGTTGCTGCTGTAGCTCATGCTCCTGTTGGTTCTGGAGGTGTCACAAACGAGTGGGCATCTCAGCAGTGGAATCAGTGGAACCCAGACGGGGCCTGGAGACAACATGCAGACAGGGAGGGATCAGATCGTGGAGCAAACCAGCATGGGAGGGTGAACCAGAGAGGCCTACATCTAACATGTTCCCCCCCATGAACCTTCTCAGCGCCATCACACACAAAAAGACCTCCAGTACCATGATACTAAGTGTTATCGACCCTCCACACACAGACAGCACATCTGGGTCTGACCAGCCTCTCACAGGCATACTGGGCGAGTGAATGTCAACAGAATGAGATTGTAATGATACCTGAAACTCATCGACTTAAATGACTTATAAGACAAGAATCCTTCAGGAGCTTTAAACAATCTCAAATATAGCCACGGTTTTTATTTTTTGCTAATAATGTGGATTCAACAACCTTTGAAGGAAGTTTTTGTTTTTGGAGCTCAGTTAATATCTCCACGATAAGGATGGGAGCAAGTCACCCAAGAAAGAAACTGAGATGGTTTTGAAGTGCTTTCAGTTTTTGAGCTTCTGAAAACCACATATGAACAAGACCAGCTACAGTAGTCCATACTTATACCAGCATTAGTTTTGGTTCCGCTCTGAGAAAGACCAAAGACCATATATGTGCACCCTTCCTAGATTGTGGTAAATATTTTCCAACTGAATTAGATTATTTGTAGAATATGCATCTCAATCTGCCTTTACACAAAGAAATCATGATTCACCAGTAAATTTCGTATTCAAATTTAGTATAAATTTACGATGTGAAAAATGTAAGAATTGAAACCACACATATGCAAAAAATTGCATACTCTGACTAGCATTATAAACAAGTCAAGATTACATATTAGATAATTTATCTTAAATGTATAAAAAGGGTCTTGCTTGCTGCACGTGCTCTCAGCGAGAAGGCGGCTTTAGATTGCGTCATGTGATGAGAGTTGCACGGAAAGTCCTTATATGGAGCTGATTTGGGTGCTTATTGGTGGTGATTGTTAACTTATTAACTTAGGGCACGCGGTCGCTCAGAGCACTCGAAATTTATTAACATTAGAATGAAGTACAATTCATATATGTACACACGTTCTCCTGCACGTATAAATACGCAATAAATCCACGCAATCATTAGTGAATGAGACCCAGTTTCTTTTAATGCCAGTTTGTGGAGAGCAGCATTAAAGGTTATTTGATGATTGTTTGTCTGTGCTTTTATGTCTCATATCCAGGAGTGTGTGCAGCCTCTTGCCTCAGGGAATGTGGATTCTGTCTCCATGGATGGGCCCAAAGCCTACTGGAAGTTCTTTGAGTCAGCAGGAGCCTGCAGAGACGTTTGGAGATGCCCAGCTGAGTGCGGAGGACACACTCTCCATAAAGCCCAATTATTATATCATGACAACTGTAGAGTTTGCTACAGGCAAGATTTCACTATTCAGACAACCTGGAGATAAGAGATTACATACAGATTGGCTGGTAAAACACGCATTTGGCACCTTGATACCTCAGCTCATCATACTATCAGCATCATTACAATGATCATATTTTGAGAGATTGTGTGTTTGCATATTTTTCTATTGCAATGCACATAAAAATAACTCTAAAGTAGCCTAGATGATTTCATCATTGTATGTCTTTGATACATTGTGTGACTTTGTAAAATTGCTGTTTATTTTGATGTTTCATGTTAAAAGTCTTAATATGTCACTGCATACCATTCTCTTTTATGAAACATTAACGTTTTCTTTATCTCAGTATGTGGCTCTAAATTCCATGTTCAGTTAATTTCAGAGTAAATTCTTTAGTATTAGGCTATACAGTATTATAATAAAATAAATGAATAATAAAGTTATTTTTAAAAGATAAAGGAATTGATTGCAAAATTATTATTATATACTTAATATTTAACACAATAACTCCATAAAACATAAAAAAAAAACACACAATTACTTTCTTTCTTGGACTTCTGATGGATGAACTTGCCACGGAAACTTTTTGGTGTTTTTTTTTTTTTTTATTTTAAAACAAAAACATTCTACAAACAACTTTGCAACAGCAAACATTTTACATTCATAAACGAGCAAACAATTGTCTAAGGGGAAAAAAGAGATACAAAACTTCTACTCATAGAGAGATATTGAGAAAATGAAGCAAGAGTGAGCACTGAGGCATGCGGCTGTGTTAGGCGTCAAGGCAGGAACAACGTGGAATCGATATAAAACAAAAACAAAAACCTCTAAAAACAGAGAAACAGATGGCACTGAACTGCTCAGAGGTAAAAACTCGCACCTACATCTGAAGAGACATTCTGATAAATTCAGTGCAAAAAGATGGCAGATGTGTAGAAAAGGCTGTGAAAATGTGGAAAAAGGTCCCTTGAAATTGATGCAGGTTTTTCTCTTGCTATTCAAATCTATGTCAATAGGTGGCAGTGCCTGCACTGTATGACAGCTCTACAATTTCATAATTACATGGGGAAGGGAGGGAGAGACATTTTGTTCTGATCTAATTTCAGCTTTAACTCAAACAAGTTTGTTAGAAGGTGAAGCTGATCTGAGATCTGTTCTGAAAATATATTTCATACACCAATACAGCTACATAGCTACACAGCCGAGTCAGACGTCACAGTACATTTACTGCTACGTAAATTAAGAAGCCCTGTTTATTGAGATATCTATTCCGCTTGTTCATTTTAATTTCAATTTGTTCCTTCGGCTTGGTTTTTAGGCAGTACTTCATTACGTTGTGCTCTTAGGGCTTCCATAAATATATATCTATTAGTTTCGTTTAATAGAAATATTTCATACACCAATACAGCTACATAGCTACACAGCCGAGTCAGACGTCACAGTACATTTACTGCTACGTAAATTAAGAAGCCCTGTTTATTGAGATATCTATTCCGCTTGTTCATTTTAATTTCAATTTGTTCCTTCGGCTTGGTTTTTAGGCAGTACGTCATTACGTTGTGCTCTTAGGGCTTCCATAAATATATATCTATTAGTTTCATTTAATAGAATTCTTGACAACTATTTACATACTAGACAAAAGGCAGTTAAACTAGTTTGTGGATGAACATAAATTTCCTTCGTCTTTTAACCATCTAAAACACGTACCTGTGCACTACCGCATATAAAACAAGAACAGCGAGCATAAGTTTGAAAAGCCTCCTTATCCTCAATTTTAATTCAACCTTTGGAAGCAGATACAAGCGTCCAAGAGATACTGACCGTGGTATTCTTTCAAGCTTTTCTTTATCTTTTCAGAACATAAACGACAACACCATTAGCTGGGAACATAAAATCCACAGCAAAGGACACGTTTTGTGATTCATATAACAAGAAACGATGTGTCTGTAGTAGCCTACACACTCGGGGTAAATGAAGAAATGCCTTAGCTACAGAAACCTATATATAGATGGCACTAAATCTGCTTGTGAAAGGACCAGAAGGATTTGTCTGTTGAACATCTCAGTCACGCCACCTGAAAGGCGCGATAAATTCTTCAGGAACACTTACTGTAGGTGAATATTGGTAACAGGTATAAATAATACGTAATTACACAAAACAAATAAATACATCACTTATTTAAATATAAATAAGGAAAACGGAGGTCGAGAAGGTTGAAAAACATCTCATCCTCGCACCAAACAGATGGGGGGCGGGTGGCAGCCAGCAAAATTCAGGGGCAGCCTGACTACGAGATATTCTGGAATATCCAAAGAAAGAAAGAAATCATGTTCTGAACTTCAAATGAAACCCTAAACTGCTGACATACGTCTGAAATCCAAAACTCAACCTGAACCAAGCTCTAAACTCATCTTGTAGCATATTTGTTCACTTGTAACCGAGTTTAACGAGGTTTGTAGCTAAGAACAGAAGTGATTCACTGCAGAAATATGACTACATGTAGTGTGAAGCTTGATTAAGCAGCGCAACTGTTTTCAACGCTGATATTATTGTTTCTTGAGCAACAAATCAGCATGTTAGATGACTTCTGACATATCATGTGACCCTGAAGACTAGAGTAATGGCTGCTGAAAATTCAGCTTTAACATTGCAGGAATAAATGACATTTTAAAATATAAACCTGCTATTTGAAATTGTAATAATATTTCACAATATTACTGTTTTTATTGTATTTTTGATCAAACAAATGCAGCCCTGGTGAGCATAAGAGACTTATTTCTTTTTTTTTTTAATCTGACCAACCCAAAACCATTTGAACGGTATCTTATTTTTATTTTTTATCTTTTTTAAATTTTTCTTTCAGTTCCATTATTGTTTTTTGAACATTTGTGCACTTAAGAAAAACAGAAAGAAAATAGACAACACATCTTTCTATTGCACTCTGCTAATTCATCTTTTTACAAATGAGTCTAAACTCACAAACCGAAACACTGTGATGTCTGGTGATGCCTGAATTACCATCTGACCCGGTTATTGAACCTTTAAAGTCACATTTATTCAATATAAACCAAGAAATGTTGTTGTCATGTTGTAGTTATGTATTCTCCAAATACTGTATCTGAGAGAATAATATCTTACCAATTAAAGGAACAAGTCTTCTGGGAGGACCATCATCCTATAAAAAAAATATAAAAAAATCAGGTTTAGCAATGTTGTGAATTTACTTAATTTTTAGTAAATAAAGATTTCTGTTTAGGAACTAGGATCTTTCTACACATCTGAAGGCACTATCTTGTCATTTCACTGCATTTCGATGGTTAATGACTGTGTGATTGATCCCAATTCTTACTAACCCGTGCCCATGGCTCTGTAACTGTCTCCGTCTGTCTCAGGGCTGAGGGACTCGATCGTGGTGATTCCTCGTTGTAGACTGCAGGAGGGAGGGCAGATAGACTGGTTTGGGAAGAGCTGGTGGTGTTTGGCAAGCTGTCGCCCAATCCCCGGTCCTCATCTTCCACTGGTATGCTCTTGGTGCATGTTTCCTGCGTTTCTTGCGTCAACAAGGGGCGGGACTCTGGGCGTTGCCCCTCTTCCCTCTCTAATCCAGCATTGTGGCTGTTCTCTTGGTCCTCTTCTGATCTTGAACGCTCATCCTAAGTGACGTCAAGAACAACAAAAATTTAGTCACACTTTAATTTAAAGTAAATAATTTAATAAAAATGTTTTTTTTTACTGTATAATTTATATAATATAATTATATTATTTATATTATATAATTTAATTCATAAAATAATTTAATATTTATTTTTAAATGTTAAATGAAAGTTTATTTGCAGGCTGCATCAGAATAATATTAACCTAATTCATCGAATAAATCAAAATAAATGCATAAAAAGCCAACAAACTTACAATAGGAACCTTCACTTCTTTACAATCACCAGCAGGGTCTGAAATAAAGTTGATAGCAAATAGGTCCATAAAAAATATGTATTTAAAGCAGTTTCAATAGAAGTACATTTGATTTTCCACTCTGCAGATCTATGCCATAATACTATGAAGGCATTAATTGTTGTACAATGTGCTATGAATGTTTTTAAATGTCTTCAAACTTCTTATACATATATGTGACCCTGGACAACAAAACCAGTCATAAGGGTAATTTTTTTGAAATTGAGATTTATACATCATCTGAAAGCTGAATAAATAAGCTTTCCATTGATTTATGGTTTGTTAGGATAGGACAATATTTGGCCGAGATACAACTATTTGAAAATCTGGAATCTGAGGGTGCAAAAAAATAATCTAAATATTGAGAAAATCGCCTTTAAAGTTGTCCAAATGAAGTTCTTAACAATGCATATTGCTAATCAAAAAATACGTTTTGATATATTTATGGTAGGAAATTTACAAAATATCTTCATGGAACATGATCTTTACTTATTGTCCTAATGATTTTTGGCATAAAAGAAAAATCAATCATTTTGACTCATACAATGTATTTTTGGCTATTGCTACAAATATATCCCAGCAACTTAAGACTGGTTTTGTGGTCCAGGGTCACATATAACAACCGACACTGCAGTGTTATTAAATACAAGGATTAAAAAATTATTTTTAACATACCGCTTAGTCGACGTTGGCGTCTCTTATGGAGGAAAAACATTCCAACCGCAATTACAATCAGCAGTACTAAAACTGATATACCAACTGCTGAAAAAACAAAGAAGATTAAATTAAATATTCCCTTCTGTTCATGATTACATGATACAGTGTTATTAATGTCAAGTTTGAGTCACTTACTTTCTCATTTCAAGTTAATTTTGGATTTTCGTTTGCATATGCTTGCCTTACCTGTAGCAACAGTGTTATTTGATGCCGAAGGCTTGTCCGTTGGACCTTCTGTCGGAGGAGAGTTTCGCTTCCTGCACTTCGTATTGGATGTCGCAGTGCAGCGGCTCACTTCTTCCTCATCAGCTTTGCACCTGCAAAACCACAGTCAAAAATATGCCTTTTAGAAAAGGTGTGAAGCCAAAGGCCTAAAATAGGAGTCTTTAAATGATTGTCATTATGAATAGCACAGTAATAGCCTCAGGGGTTAAAGGTGGAGAGAGTAAATCAGTGGGAAAGGGATCTGACTCATTGGATGTGGAGATCTAAAGCAGAGGCTGGGGCTGAAAGGTTAGGAGAATAGAAGGTGAGAGCGTCAGAGCTGTCTGCTTTCATCTGGGTGTTGTGCTGCAGATCAGAGGTCAAATGGGAAGAGCACGTTCCAGAGGGAAGGAGGAACTCACTTGGCGCATTTCTTGCACACTTCACAGGGCTCGTCCGGCAGGCAGAAGGTACCGGGTTTGCATTCACACTTGGTGTTGCTTGCTCTGGTGCATTCTGTAACCACGATCTGATCTGTGAAAGAAGGAAGAGAAGCAAAAAGGTGAGGGAGGGAAGGATGAAGAAATCAGAACAAGTGGGAGAGAAGCAATGGACCTAATGGTTTTTGCCTCAGCAAACAGTTAAAATGCATGGAACACATATGAATGTTGGATCAATCCAGATTTGATTCAGATTCAGAGAGAATGATTTAGTGTCTATCTGTTACTACTAACATTTGTCTCAGAACAGCTGGAAAAGAAAGAAAGTCTTAAGACACATCAGAAGGGTGAACTGAATGATTACATCAATCCAGATGCTAAGAGAATAATCCAGAGCTAGATTTAATCCAGATCTAGAAAGAAGAAAAAAAAGATTCTATATATATTATCGTTACAACTAGCACCTGTCTCAGAGAAAATACTAATGTCTGTTAATGTCGGATAGATGCAGATCCTATTCTAGATTTAATCCAAATTTAGAATAATAATACATTTATTAGTATGCATTTTAAAACTAATATCTGCGTCAGAAGACCGTAAAAGTGCACCTCTACAAGGTAAAAAGAATTATATACATTTCAGATAAATCCAGATCCTGATCCAGATTCAATCCAAATTTAGATAAAAACAAGATTCACAGTATTATTGTTAAAACTAATCTCTAAGCCAGCTAAAATGCACTCTTCAGGGTAAAATAAGATATTTACATTTTGGATAAATCCAGATCCTGATCCGGATTTAATCCAAATTTAGATGAAATAATACAATGTATGTATTTTAAAACTAGTATCTGCCTCAGCAGAAGTAGAAATGCACTTCTGAAAGGTAAAATTAATTGTATGCATTTCAGATAAATCCATATCTTGATCCAGATTCAATCAAAATTTAGATTAAAAAAAAAAAAGATTCATAGCATTATTGTTAAAACTAATCTCTAAGAAGACCGCTGAAATGCACATCTGCAGGGTAAAATTAGATATTTACATTTTGGATAAATCCAGATCCTGATCCAGATTCAGTCCAAAATTAGATTAAAAAATGATTCAGTGTTTAAATGAATGATTGGTCAATTTTCAGTCAATACAGATCCAGTTGAAGTCCAGAATCAGATTCACTTGACATTCAGTACAACAAATATCTGCCTCAGAGAATGCAGATACTGCATGGGAAGTCTTAATCAACACACCCTCGTCACTCAGCAAGCAGAAGGGCTAACCTGGGAGTGATTAATTGCGCAAAATTGATACCGAACAAGACGCCACATGATATAGGCACGCCCTGCATCATCCTAAAACACACGCATGCACACAAACCCGGACAAGAGACACAAAGGTGCGCATAAACTAGAGGATAGATCAGTCATTCATACACACACAATTGGCTAGTGAAAGAACACAGGAGTGGGGCCACACCCAGGACGTGTAACATTAGGAGATCAGATTCCTAGGAGCGAGGTGTCCAGCACAGGAAACACTAGACTCAGCTCTATTCATGGGGCCTGCTTATGTCCCTGTCCTCTTGAGAATCCTATGGGTGGGTCATTGTCTAAACGGGCGAGCGAGATTTTGTTTATACGAATATGTAGTGTTTACAACAGAGTTTGGATCTGATCAAGCAGTAGGGTCTTCTGGGAAAGAATGTTTAGGTAAATCAAATGATTTAATAAACAGTAAAATGTGGCTGTCCAATCAAAATAAACAGCACTTTAATGGATGGCTTTGATTTCATAGGAACCAGGGAGAGACTAAATAGCTTTGCAGAAGAATGGGCTGTCACAGCGTAGCTTTCTGCGATGGGTTCAACGTGCTTTAGATGTTCCGTCTCACTTGGAGATCACAGTATGCCGCACATTTTTCCATACTGTACAAAAGGCGAGTCTGAATTTCCAAAAGCAAATAATTCTGATGCCAGTACAGTTTTATATCATCTCTGAGATTTTTTTGTTTTCTTCTAATTTATGTTTTCCGACAGCAGATTCAGAAGTTAATTGTTTGTCCAGTAGTCACCAGCGATGGGTTGCGTTGCTACCTTCCCAGCACGCCAAGGACCATGTGTGTTCCATTATTCATTCGAGATGTATAAATGTTACATTCCTGAGTGCTCTGCTTCTCTAGAGAGTCAGTGCAGACTACAGATGGCTGTCTACTGGAAAACTCAACAATCAATTACAAAAGCAGAAGGTTGAGATTTCTATACCTCCAAGTGCCAGTCACAGGCCTGACTCATAAACACCTACTTTAAACAACTATAAGAGAAAGATCTGGCCTTGCCTTTTACAAACATCTAATTGTGATATTGACTAAATGGCTGGTTTGGAGAGGAAAGTGGAGATTGTTACCTCTGTGGCACTGGCTGCACTGCAGACACTGATCCATGCCTGTGGGGTGTTCGGCATACGTGCCCTTCTCACATGGAGCGCAAATGCCCTTCTCCTGGTCACTGCTACACTTTTGTTTCACATAAGTGCCTGTGAATTTAAAAAACAATGTGACAGACATTAGATCTCAAGATATTGTATTTGGAGAAAAAAAGCAGAATAGGAACAAGTTTGTGTTTAGAATCAAACTCATTTAAAATAACTGTATAATTAAGACCACAGAATGCAACATCTGGCCAAAGCTTTTTCTTAGTATACAGTGGGTACGGAAAGTATTCAGACCCCCTTAAATTTTTCACTCTTTGTTATATTGCAGCCATTTGCTAAAATCGTTTAAGTTAATTTTTTTTCCTCATTAATGTACACACAGCACCCCATATTGAGCAATATAACAAAGAGTGAAAAATTTAAGGGGGTCTGAATACTTTCCGTACCCACTGTATATGCTGACACCAATGGTCTAGTATTAAAATATGAATTAGCATTACTCGTATGAAAAATGCATTAAGTAAAGTACCTTTTAAGTAACCTCCCCCCCCCCCACCAAAAAAAGACCACAGAATACAACGTTTAGTCGAAGATGTTTTATGCAATTTTGAGACCTGTTTAAAATACATGCCATATATTAAAATGTTTTTTCTTGGTATATACTCTGACACCAATAATCTAGTATTAAATTATTAATAATTAGCATTTCTCATATGAAAAAAGTACCTTTTAACTTAAGTAACCAACCATCCTTTCAATAATCTATTTTTAAGTGTATTCATGCCATTATTTTTCATAAAAAATTGCTTGTTTTATAATATATATTAAATTCTCTCATATCTTTTGTTTTATATGGTTTTACCTTGGTAATGAGAAACCATCCTGTGATTATCATGGGCTTATTAGACAAACTATACAAAAATAATAAGTTTTATTACATTGCACATATTCTCACTGTAATTCCCAATACTATATTTCCAAACTGTATATTTTGTGTTTAATTCCCATCAGGCGGTTTGGTGATTTAAGCTGCTCTTCATGTGTGCTTCATGTTTGCAGAGAGTGAAACGCAGGCCTCCATTCCTCTCATTCTGGATCTCCAAACACCTCCTTCAACACAAACCTTACAATACCTCTCAACAGACACAGCTCTCTGGTGAACCAGAGTTTTACAAATAAGAATGCCGAGTTTTAAGCTAATGAAGACTGTTCTGTAAAATAACCATTTTGTTTCTGTTCAAATTTTCATCAGAGAATAATACTCTTAATAGCAACACTGACAGATGTTTGTCAGCGCCTAATCAACATAGCCTGGAAAGCAATTTTAAACATCTTGAAAACCAGCGTATGCTTTAATTTACTTTAAAATCTTTGCGTTGAGCGAGTTGAATCATTTGTGTTTACAATACTGGCCTTTACAAGGGAAGTTCTCACGGTTTGACAGGAACGTCAGAGATGGATCTTCACTGCAACTTACCAGCTTCACAGTTCTTGCAGCAGAAGTTGATGTGAGGGTATTCCTGGTTCTCCACGCAGTTCAGCTGTCTGGCTGTGCGGTTCTGGAGGTCTCCTGCAAACCCAAGCTCTGCCGCTCCATGACCCACATGAATTAAAGCAACGATTATAGGGACCTAGAAAATGAGAGAGATTTTTCAATGTGCATTCATGATGCCTTGCATTCATGTATCCCAGTTGGTACTTGGAAATATTTTGGTTTTGCTTGGTTAAATCTGAAAAACAGAAATTATAACTTAAATATTCAAAATAAAAATATAATTAATATTTTAGAAAATATTACGATTAGGTTTGTTAGTAGATTAATATATTTATCATATTGAATGCATTTTGTAAACACATTGATGATGAGTTATTCAAAAAAAATAATTAAAAACTTTAAAATCTTTGCGTTGAGCGAGTTGAATCATTTGTGTTTACAATACTGGCCTTTACAAGGGAAGTTCTCACGGTTTGACAGGAACGTCAGAGATGGATCTTCACTGCAACTTACCAGCTTCACAGTTCTTGCAGCAGAAGTTGATGTGAGGGTATTCCTGGTTCTCCACGCAGTTCAGCTGTCTGGCTGTGCGGTTCTGGAGGTCTCCTGCAAACCCAAGCTCTGCCGCTCCATGACCCACATGAATTAAAGCAACGATTATAGGGACCTAGAAAATGAGAGAGATTTTTCAATGTGCATTCATGATGCCTTGCATTCATGTATCCCAGTTGGTACTTGGAAATATTTTGGTTTTGCTTGGTTAAATCTGAAAAACAGAAATTATAACTTAAATATTCAAAATAAAAATATAATTAATATTTTAGAAAATATTACGATTAGGTTTGTTAGTAGATTAATATATTTATCATATTGAATGCATTTTGTAAACACATTGATGATGAGTTATTAAAAAAAAAATAATTAAAAACAAATAAAACAAAAAAAAAACAAATTAGAAATACAGTTAAATTAAACTACTACAATCGTAAGCACTTCAGACAGCAGATGCCTTTACTCATCTTCTTGTTAACATTATTACAAACATCACAGGAATAAAGAATAAAGTTTAGTCTGAATTTCATTCATAAATTAATTTATTGCCGTTGCTGCTAATGAATAGGGATTTGAGCTTTACTTATGGGGCTGTGTGGAGGCACACAAGACAAAAAAAAAAGTCTGGGAAGAACAGCAGATAAGAGGTTTCTTCAAGAGAAATACCAGTTTTATACTTTCACACGGCTGCAGTCATGCTCTTTCACACACATTTAGCCTTTCTTTCTCAGTTCCAGAGGCAAACAGAGAGGTATTCTGAGTTCTCATAGCTGACCTTGTGTGAGCAATCTAGCATTTAATTCAAACCATCTGATGTGCACATCCGCAGAGCAAAGCAAATTAACAGAGCAGGAGAGAGTCTTTCCCTGGACCAGAACAAAACAACCTACCCTGACAAAACGCACATACACAGAACTCTAAATGTGCTGTGGGATCCATGGAAATAGCAGTAAACATCTAAAAAACTATTTCTTAAATGGTGGGAAGAAAGTAAGTTTTGACAAGGTCACCGACAACAGTGCGAAACAATGCTAAATGCATTGTACTTTGAGTTTCATTTCAATCAGTTTTTGTTACCATTAATGGCTTACTGTCCATATGACAATGCATATTTAAAACTGCACATGTACAACATATTTTAATAAACATGTATTATATATGCTGCCCTGTAGCAAAACTGCATGGTAATTTTAAACTCTTAAAGGTACAGTAGCAAAAACAGCCTGTTGAATTGGACATAGTCTGTGGAAAATGGTCATGTAAAACTAAATTATGACTGCTTTGGTGCAAGGAACCTTGACTAATATTATAAGTGGACTTTAAGGGGGAAATGCTACAAAAGCGCTTATTTTTAACATCAAATACGGCACTATAAACAAATGTTCCCAATGCTGGTCAATGGCCATTCAGTTCGGTATCTCTGTCTTTTTGTCTCAGAGGATAATGGGAAATGTAGGCCGTTAGATGGAGCCAGTGGAGTCGAGTTGCCACGGAGGTGTATGGCGGTGGTGGTGCGTGTCTGGGAGAATGTGGGTCATTTGAAGTGGTGGCTCTAAAGTGTGTTGTTTAGCCGTAAATGAGGCCTTCTCATTGTGACATGCTGAAAAGAGGAAGAAGAAAGAAGGGGTGCCTCAGGGACCGAGTAAAGTGCTCGTCTGAAGTAGAAGACCCCTTCTCCGCATGCATAGTCCATACAGAGCTGCTGTTGACTCCCTCACACACACATCTCTGTCTGCTCACAACGACCTCTTGTGTCTCTGTCTGCTCTCTTCTTTTCTCTCATTTGACTTACTCACACACACATACACATACAAAGAAAGAATGAAAAGCAACCACCCTATCACACTCCTTTTCCTCTTAAACACACACACATATAAAGAACAACCCTTGCCTCTACTTCTCTTTATCTCCCACACACATTGGCCTTTTTTGAACATGTCTGTTAGACACTCATTCAACCATATGGATGTGCTCTGATACACACACACACACACACACACACACACACACAGTCCCCAATGCACAAAAAACTCACATACCCACAGGCACACACACACACACACACACACAAACACACACAAACACACACAAACACATTCCCACATATCTCTTTTATCTTGAACACTTTGCATTTAACTGAAACTTCACGGCTCTATTTGGAGAGTAGGGTTGTGCTGCTTTTCTCAGTAGTAAAACATAATATAATACGTCATTTAAAACTGCTAAATTTGATCAGATAGTAATTAAAGATGGTAAACTTGTAAAATCACAGCTTGATGTACAAATCTTTTAGGACAGCGGTTTTGCTTTATGATGCTGGTTGGACATTCGCACAAAAGTGAAATAATGAAACCAAACACTGAACTATTTTAATATGCAAACGGTTATGGTTGGCCAACCATTGTTTACCAATATAATGAATGAGCACTGTTGTTTCTCAGGGCAGGCCAAGTTTATGAATTCTGAATGGTTGTTGATGTATAAATATGGGAGTTCGCATGTTAATATGCTCATAAATATGCAGGATGTGACATAATCATGCTGAATTCTGAATGACCTATTTTTGTAGCTGTGTTTGCAACAGAATATTGTACTGTAAAGAGTACTGTATATTATCTGTGAAAAATGTAAAAGAAACAGTACAGATTCTAATAGCATGCTTCATTGTTGTCTCAAATGATGACACTGAACATTTAAAAATAAAATTTTTTAAAAGTCTTTTTGAATTAAAACATTAATTGAAGAACATTCGAATAAAGAGTCAATAAAAATTATCATAATACATTTTTAAAGACATTACTTATGCTCATCAAGGCTGTTTATTTGATCACAAAAGTAGTAAAAACAGTAAAGTTTTAAATATTATTACAATTTAAAATATATTTCAATACATTTTAAAATGTCATTTATTCTTGTGATTGCAAAGCTATATTACAAATTTGCCATTACTCCACATGATCCTTCAGAAACTATTCTAATATGCTTATTTGGTGCTCAAGAAACATTTCTTATTAATATCAATGTTGAAAACAGCTGCTTTCTTTTTTGGAAACCATCATACTTTTTTCAGGATTCTTGAATGAATAGAAAGTTCAAGAGCATTTATTTGAAACCGAAATCTTTTATAATATTTCTAAATGTATTTGCGGTTACTTTAGATCAATTGAATACATGTTCATATTGTATTAAAAAATATATTTTTTAATGGTAGTGTATCAAGTTGAGTGCATTGCATTGTGGGACTATCCCATGCAGTATATACTTATACTGCACTTTTTTTTTTTGCAAATCTGAGCATTCTATGCATGCTGCATAGCAAAAGTAGCATGCTATTCAGTAGCCTTTGATTCCATGTGCCTTTCACTGTTTTTAGTCAATAAGTTAAGCTACATTGCTAATGACAAACTGCAACAGCAAAACCTCAAATGTTGACAGTGTAATATTATGTACTAATATTTGTAGAATAGCAACAGGGTTTCCAAAACAGAAGAGCAATCAGAGAAGACATACCGCAGAGGAGAACAGCAGAATGCTTCTTGTAAACTAGTATCAAATAGAGCCGAACAGCTGCGTTAAGAAACCACAGAGGACCAGGGGTATTAGAGAATATGGTGATACGTGCTATAGTGTGCAACACAACCAGTAAAACGAGGTTCTCAACAAATACCGCACTGTCCAAGCCGCAGATTTGAACGCTAATCCATCTTTAATAGCTGAAATATCACAACGGCCACAGTAAATCAACTCAAAAACAGAGCAGAGACTCAATTCGGGGTTGGAGATGCAATGTTTGGAACTCGGACGAGGGTACAATGGTCTTCTTGTTGGAAGACGGACTGAGTCTATCAGCCTCCAGGGGAATCGAGATGCCATCGAGTGTCCACACAGACAGTAAAACCACTCGAGACAATGAAATGAGTGCAGGCGAACCGAATGCATGTGTGAGAGTTTCTTGAGCGAGTATGTCTGTGTGTGTGTGTTGGAGGGAAGTCTGAGACAAACTTTGGCTCCAGTGGAGCTCTCTGGATGTCAGCCATGCCTTGTTGTTCTAAGGGAGTTTCCTGGATTGAGCAGCGCTGTCGAGCCACACTCTCTCCGCGCTCACGTCAGACTTTCCACAGACGTTCACATGCACACACACGCACAATCGCACCATTTAGACAGCCGCCGGGAGGTGGGGTCAGAGAGCGACGACTATGGAGTGCTGGAGGAATTTGAAAAGAAAAGGAGAAGGGGGACAGATACAATAGACGGAGTGTGAGAAGCCCAGAAATGGCGCAAAACGTAGGGCAGGCGTATGGGAAGGCATGGCAGAGAGGAACGACGAGTGAAAGAAGAGTCTTGACTCCAAACGGACACACTGAAACCATTCAGACGAGTGGAACATTAAAAGTCACACTAATGAGCTACAGTACTCGCTCTTTTACAGCCAAACACACACACACATACCGCAAAGACTGAATTTTCCCAGACGGGATGAAAAGCACACGTATCAGTTGCTGCAGCCTGAAAAATTAGTAGCTGCATTAATGTCCGACACCTGTTCCGGACCCCCTTGGCACATGCAAACCCATCTGGGTCAAAGTTCGCTGATTTACCAATGACATCACCCACCAATGACAGTGGAGCCTGTCTGACAGACATCTATGCCAAGCGCTCGTTAAAAAGCAGTCAAACTTTTTCCTGACTGCATTTGTGTGTGTGAATGCTATGGAAACTCCACGTCTCCATGGCGACACGTCTGATCCCGGGACAGGTGGTGTTTTTTTTTTTCTTTGGAGAGGCACGGATGGGAAGGCCGTGGGGGCAGTGACATCACTTCCTGTGTCTGCACATTCCAGATCTGGTGAATCACTGGATACCAAAGCTACACTAGAACTAACTTGTAAGCTTTCTTGCTGACAGCTCATAGTGAAACTATTAACAAACAAGGAACATTAAACATTAGACGTCATGACATGACTTGCTGGAATGAAAAAAAAAAAAAGCGCTTCTGCAATTATAGCCACACCTTTAGAAGATTTTAGTAAAAATACAGTGACTTCCTTGTTGCTTATACCTCAAAACAGTCTTATTTTCAAGCATGTCTAATTTCTTTTTTTTTTTCTATCTTCA